TTTCCTGTGTCATTCTCATAGCCTGTTATTGTTAAATCCACTTTCAAATCTGTCTCAATCTTGTCAGTTAAAACTTGCTCCTCTTTCATAACATCTTTTCAACAATCTGTCCATACAGGCAACCACTCTTTAATTTATGGATTTGTTGTTTAAAAAATATCGTTGAATATTTCCAATATTATTCCAATACCAAAAAATATATTTATCTTGCTTCATTCTATAATTGTCAGTTGAATTTGAGTGTTCTTTAATTATAATATTTAGTTCCTCCAGTTCCCTCTGGTGTTCAAGTTTTAAAGTCTTGCCTTAACATTAAAAAAATGGATACTTTCTGGATGCTTGACAAAGTATCTCAAACACACCTTTGGAACAGGGCCTCAGTTTGGTGTATGTATATTATTATTAGTCCCTTTAAAATTATTTACTTATTTAGGGTATGGACTAGCAATATATATTAACATTTCATCTAGAATTCTAGATTAATAAAACATTATAAAATATGTTAAAAAGATCGATGTTTAAATGTCAATGTCTAGCCCATCTAATCATTGAAGTGCAGCATCGTTTATATTAAAACAAATCAGATACTGGACTGGCATATGCCCTCCATTTACATTTGGTCACAAGTTGATCGACAGTTTGATGCGGGACCCAGTAGTCACACTGAGGGGAGGAAACTATGGCACATTTATACAGAGAATGCTGGCAGATGCCGTGTGAGGTGCAAATCTTATTCAGGATTGGATAAGGTATTGACATGGTAGTTCAAAGCCTGTCACCTTTTTTTGGGGGGGGGTGTCATTTATATCTCTTCCTATGTCAGGGCATTCAGTGACTCATTTGGCTTTCCACTGGGAATCACTGTTAAAATTGTTGGGAATAAGTCCCTTTGAAATCCTGACTCTGTTCAGTTCATTACAAATAATAGTAACTATTCCAAATACATCTAGACCAGGGGTGTCCAACCTTGGCAACTTTAAGACTTGTGGACTTCAACTCCCAGAATTCCTCAGCCAGATTGCCAAGGTTGGACACCCCTGATCTAGACCTAGAGCTTTCGAGACACTGCATCTAGCAAAAAACAAATTCTGGTTTCTCTGTTATTATTTCACATCCCTCGTATATTTAATATTGAAGATTACTTTTAAGACAAAACCTTATTTGAGTCACTGTAGATTAGTAGATGATTAAACAACAAGAAGTTGTGCCCAAAGTGGTTGCTCCTCATAGAGGAAAGCTTTGTTTTACTGTATTTCCCACATAGAAGTTAATGGTGAAACCTTTTAATACATGAAGGGAATGTTTCACATGATTCTAAAGTAGGAGCATCTTTCCACAGCTTCCCTCACTGTGAGGGAATATTAATATTAATGTCCATTATTAATAACTTATGCTGTTTGTGCATATTAACTTACATTGTAGTTAGAAGATGGAATATAATATTTAGGCCAGGAATACGCAACCTGGAACTCTCCAGATATTTCTATTACAATACCCACAAATCCTGATTGCTGGCCATAGTGACAAGCTTTTAAGAGTTGTAATATAAATCATTAAGCTGATGCCCAATTGTTTGGTCTCTACCTTAATTCTCTGTACCCTCATGACTCACTTTCTTTGCAAGTTACCAATTCTCAGTACAGATTCTGACTGAGATTGTCAGTCCTGATAGAATCATATATTTGGGCTTTTTTTATCTTTTACCTGGCATTTGTTAACATCTCACAGTGGGGAACCTCTGACTCATCCTAGAAAATGTGACAGGAAATAAGCTCTATTTAACTCTTCTGGATACTTGGATGGTGCAAGTGACAGTTTCTATGCCACATGCCTTTGGAAGTCTCTTGACAAGCATTCAGTAGAAGCTTTTAATACTATAGAAAAACCTGTGTGCTATGGAAGGCATATTAACAGGGCATTGTTTCTCTCCTCTCCTCAGCAACATGGGTAATTTGCAGCTAGACCTTCCAGAAAAATAACAGAATCTGTGTTTTCTATTATCCGACACTAACACTGATTTAATGCCAGAGCTGAGTATCCCTTCCCTAATAGACGTGAAATGGAAGAAGCTTGTTTGAGGATAGAAAAGTAGAATCACTGTTCAGCATTTTAAAAATCATGAAGGATGTTCTACTACTAGAAAGGCAGAGCACACAAATTTCAAATGATATTCTCTTTGGAATATTAGAGAAACGTTCTTGGCTTTTGCTGATTTTTCAAAGAGTCCTAAAGTAACTACTATAGAAGGGCCTCATGTCTCAAGAATGGAAAACTAAAGAAGGGCGGGGCGGGGGGGAGAGATTTAATTATTCAGGATATATGTGTTTTGCTTGTAGTTCATGAAGCTCGAAAGCAGAATAGCTGTGTTATGTCCATAGTCCATGCCTTGAGATTTGCAAATTAATTTATGGTTCGGTTATGTCATTGATTCCTAATAATGTCACAGAGTTTAGTGATGCTTGTATAAGCACTCATAGCGCCACTGGCTGCTCTAGCTGGGGGTGGGTGGGTTTCCAGTGATAAAGTATTACAATCTATGAGTAAGAAAAATGCAATATATTTCTTCATTTTTAAATATTTATATGCCATCCCTCAGATGCTAAGATTCCTAGATGGCATTCAGTAAGTAAGAGGCATATTATCTGAAGACAGACAACAGGGGTTCCAGCCCAAAATGATTCATTTTTATGCACATTTTGTGGTATATGCACGCATAGGGGTACAGACAGACACAGACAGAGATGTCTGGAATATTCTTAATTTCATCCATGAGGTTCTAGGAATAGCTAACCCAAAAAAAGCCATTAGGAAGGTCTTTGTTATACTTGACAATTTCAAGACCACAGAAACTGATACTCATTGTTGAGTATCTTCTGGGCACAACTGTAGTAGTAAATCATGGCCATATATAATTATAGCTTTGAGTCAGATTTGACTACTGGTGCCTGCATGGGAAGTTCATGTAGTTTCCTAGGTGGCATGTTCAGAAGTGCTTTGCAATTGCCTTCTTCCTAAGAGGGTAGGAATGAGAGGGTAGGAATGATGACAGAGGAGAATATTTGTAGCTCAGGGTTGAAATGAGGGGTCCTTGGTACTCTCTGAACTTGGGTGTTTTATTGCAGAAGTTTCATTATCAAACTAGGTAATATCATCAGTGCCCTGATGGTGTTATCTAGTTTGGGTAATCAAACATCTGCAGGAAAACAACCAAGCTCAAATGGTAGGAGTGGCCCAAAGTTACAAATCTGGCTTTAAACAAGATTAAAACTCAGATTTATTTGCTTCTAGTCTATATCATAACTGCTAGACTAGATTGATTAAGTGGATTTTCTTTACAGCACTTGTGGTAATTCTGCTCCATCCAAAGAATTAGATGTTTGGAGGAAAAGTGTTCTGGTGTAACCCTCTCAAATCCTAAGATTAAAAGTGAAAAATTTGTGTAAAGAAGTTTGAAATGGCATAACCTAAATTATCTTCATGATCATATTATTTGAATTTTAGCTTTATGAAAGTTGTTAATTTATGAAACAAAATACTGGTAACTGTGCGCTGTTAGAATATGTAACATCTTATACCCTCTCTTCCTATCTCATTTTATAATAGCCAATGACTGTGTTTTTACAGTAACTTCACATGATACTCTAAAGCAGGGGTGTCAAACTCACAGGTTATGGGCCGGATGCATCACGTGCTAGTCACGCCCACCCCTAGTTTAACGAAGGGGAAAAACATTGTGATACATTACGCGACAACAACATGTCATCACAAATTTGACACCCTTGCTCTAAAGCTAAAAAAATTGGCTAGCAAGCATAATTAGCAACCATACTTTACCCTTTTCTCACCTGGCACACAAAAATTTTCAACCAAAATTATAGCTTATGTGTTATCCAGACCTTGAGTATAGCTTGCCCCTAGACAAGATGGATGGCACATAAATCAAATAAGTAAGTCTCAGTTTACATAAATCCAGAGCAATTGTTGTTTTAGGTTTGGACACGCTAAACCATGATAAATCTTGGTGGAGCAAAATGGCTACATGTACATTCTTACATAGCAAGCTGTGGGAATATAAATGGGTCTTAAGGTGCTAGAAGTGTCCTTGAATTCAACTGGACACTCAAGCAGACTAGTACTATAGCTTTGAAGCCCCAAGTTCAGGCAATACATTTGCAGTAGGAAGAGAGGTTAGCTGGGAAATTCTGGGAGTTAAGGTTCACCCATCAGAAAGTTGCCAAGGTTGAGAAACATTGCCTTAGAAGCTTAGATTATCCAGAAGCACACAGGAACTGAGCAACTCTTCCTTTCATCCTTAACTCTAACTTTTTCATATAACTCACAGCCTTATGCTGCCCTTGCCTCACCCTTTTTTCACTACACCCCCCCCCCCCCCCCGCCGCCCTAGATGTAACAGTTTCATAATGCGAGGCACACATTTAAGTACCCGCTCCCAAATGCAATAATGAACTGTCCACAAAGGAATGTATGTCCTAATTGTTTGCTTGGAATAGCTGCTGTCCACAAAGAAGCTTCTATATTTGAGGGAATTATTGCAAGCATTCCATTCATTGATTGATTGATACTGGCCACCCAATTTATAAAATGTGGGGGTTGGCCAGAGATATTTCACCTTGAAGTCTCTTCCCTCTGAAATGGGTCTCTCCATGAAGAACTGGGATACCAAATTTCTTTCCATGTTTCCTTCAGAAGGCAACTTGAATAGGGGCAAGCTAATGTGTGTAGACTGGATGAAATGCAAACTGAATTTAATATATTTGTCTGTAAATGTTATAGGATTTGTCTTTCGCTGTAAGAAACTAATATGGCTACCCTTCCAGAACCTGGATAAATGTCATAGCTTATACTTTTTTTAAAAAAGGAAAACTATTTCCTGGAGATAGTAAAAGGTGCTGGAAATAGAATAGAATGAATTGCTTATCATTATTTCCAGTGAAATGGCATATATCTATTTTAACTGTTCGTCCTTTCTGTCTCTTTAGGAAGTAAAACTCGGGAAGGTGTAGTACAAGGTGTGACTTCAGGTAATGTTTATTGCTATTTCTCTTCTCCCCCAGCTTTAATCCTGAGTGGGCAATTGTATGAAAACAAGCCAATAAAACAGTGCCAATAAAACAGTGATATTGTTAAAATCATTCCCTTAACTAAAGCTGGGCAAAGTGTTCCATCTACTTCCACCTGTTGGCAGAACTGGCTAAAAGGGCTGGCTAAGGTACAGTTAGTGTGCAACTTGACTCAGCTTGACACCAGGCTTTATATCTCATGTCAAAGTATACATTTCATAATTAGGCAGAATTAGGTCACATTTTTGAGGGGAAATTTTAGGAATTTTAAGAGATGGAATGGCTGCTTTAAATTGCAACAAATCTTCAGGCAATCATTTTTATAGCACATTTAGAATTCCAAAAATGCCCCCCCCCCCAAACTATCAAACCTAACCCAAAACTACTCCCCTCCCCCAACCAAAGTTTCACTCACTTGGGGCAAAGTTTTCACTTGAGACCTACTGCATTCCTGATAAGAGGCCAAGTAGACTTGAACAGAACAGTAAAATAAATGACTTGCTTAAATGGTACAGAGTGTACACTTTAGCGTCAAGTCTAGAAAAGACATGTGTGCTGCAGGAAGAAGATAGACTTAATAGTGATAGCTTTTCTTCCATGGCCTTATACATATGCTTCTGCTTCTATCCATCTATGATGAATAGACTGTATCACTGTATTGTAGTTGTACATTTGTACATTACTGCCAAATTATGTTCCAAGTCAACATCTTTCTTAGCCAAGTTGTGAAAGGCCACACGTTGTACATCCAGCGTGAGCTAATTGTATGGTCTCATAAGACACAAGAGCTTTTTCTTTCTGTCTTTTGGTTTTCTTAGTTGCTGAGAAGACAAAGGAGCAGGCATCCCACCTGGGTGGAGCTGTCTTTTCAGGAGCTGGCAATATTGCAGCTGCCACAGGACTGGTCAAGAAAGAAGAATTTCCAACTGATGTGAAGGTAGGCATCTTAATAAGAGCTATTAAGAATCAATCTAGGGGCAGGAGAATTTAAAAACTACCATAGAAAGAAAGGATAGATGACTCCAATAGACCTGAGTAACATTTGATATTGATCTTTTTGTTAATTTAATTCTTCAAAAGCTGAAGGTTTGCTATGTTGGTTGCTTTCTCATTTTGGGATGAGGACCTATTAGGATTAACAGGAAAAATGCAATGACATTCCAATAATTTTACATGACAGGATATAGTATGCTTTGGATAAGAACCTATAACCATGGTGTGTAGGAATGGGAATGCATGTGTACAAGTGTCTTTGCATATATGGGTTGTGCAGTAACATACTAACACAATATGTGTGAAAATCTCTATCCCATCATTTGTGCAGAGTGTAAAAGGTGGTGATATTCGTTTAGCTCAGCATCACGCGGGGGGGGGGGGCAGGTTATGCTTCATTTTTATAACTTGTTTGATGAATGTATACATTTAGACTGGCATGTGCTCAGAAGCACAACCTTGTGCATCTTGAGGCTGAGAAAACCAAACCGTATTACAGAAATTGTCTGGCTGCTGCAGGACTGCCAATCTGAGAAAAAAAACACCTCTTGAATCTTGCAGCTGAGCTGCCAGTGAACCATTTGCTTCCAGCTTAGCTTAAAATAGCAACAGCTGAAGATGAAATGAGGCCATTGCATTCAGGCAGGAAGAGGCACACTGCTCTACTCAGCAAGGGGGGGAAGGAGCCTATGAAGAGTAGTGTCGGACTGCCAGTCACAGGGCTCTTCCCAACAGCCATGTTGATGCTTTCCTTCCATCTTTGAGATGGGAAGAAACAACGTCATTTTTAAAAAACTGTGGATCCACAAGCCTATCTGTTACCACATCTCTGGAATGAGACTGTTATTGCTGCTTTCACAGGAAGCAATGAGGGTTATTTTCAGGACAATTGCTTAGCAGTGAGCAATAGAGAAGCTGGCAGGCAAAGGAGGATGACGTGGAGAGGGCAAGAGAGGTTGAAATCAATGGGTGGGAGGTGCAGCAACTGTTTTTAAGCTACCTCATTGAACAGACAGTGGCAAGGTGGGGGCTGTAGCTTTCCAGACCACCTATGAACACTTGAGGTAACACAGAAATGAATGCAGCTTTTTATAGATTTGTAAACAAACAAAAAATGGTGCCATTCAATAAAACCAGGGAGTAAGACTAAAACAATTGACTGTTTCTCCTATAACTAATGCTTTACATATGTAAAGAACTTACAAATGGGAATACTGACTTCATAGAAGAATTGTACTTGGTCATTCACAGGACCAATATTCTCTTGATCCAAATTGCACATGTACACAATGAGAGCTATCTCATTGGATGCTACAGTGTAAGAGAAATGGCTCTGGAGACATGGGCCACAGCAGCTGGATAGAGTGGGTGGCCCTGCAACAATCTAACTGGGGCTCAGCCTATTGCTGATTTCTGATAAAATTCTTCTGTGCATCTGGAATCTCTGCATGGATGTCTTTTACCATGTTAATTGAAAAACACTCCCAATGAGCTGGAACAGCTTGTCCTCACAACAAATCAGTGGGCATTCAAATATAGATGAACTCATTAATGTTTGAAGGGAGGGGGGGAATCTATGGCCCATATGCCAAGCATGATTTTATGTACTTTGGTTATGTGCTGTGTCTCTGCCATTTCTCTAAATAATCCTAAACATTCTAGTCTTTTATCACAAAGAGAGCATTTGAGTCCCCTGATCATTGTGGTTAACATCTTCAGTGCTTTTTAAGCTTTCTTTCTGCATTTTAAAAGTGCAACTGGAACAGTCTATAATATTCAATATGCAGCTGAGCCATATAAGGTTATTAAAAAGTTAAAATACTGTATATTTTCAGTTCATTTCCTACTGATCCCTAGCATGGAATTTGCCTTTTTCACAGCTCCTGCACATCTTCCTTGAACTAGAGCCCATACTGTTTTTTTTTTGTTTAGTTCACACAGGTTATGTGAATTTGCATAGGGGTGGGTAGCTTGTCCAATGTACATCACTTTATATTTAACAGTATTTACCACTTGGTTAAGCACGCACATAGTTTTAAAAGATCCTTCAGGAACTGTTCTCAGTCATTTTTTGTTTTTATCCACCACATATCTGCAAATTTAGTCAGTTCCCTGCTCTATTATTAAATAAAGTTAATTTAAGAACAAGTTAAATTAGCTTTGATCTTAATGCAGATCCTTGAAGGACTCCAGTTGAAAAAAATTGACCATTTATTCCTACTCTCACCCCATTCCCATTAAATACACTCTCTGATGAGGAACTATAGTGTTGATAGGATAATCTCCAATGGTCAAAAAATTGACCATTTATTCCTACTCTCACCCCATTCCCATTAAATACACTCTCTGATGAGGAACTATAGTGTTGATAGGATAATCTCCATTTACCTGCTGGCACTTTAAACAAGACTCTAAAACACTGAAATACAATTTACCTTTGTAGAATCCATGCTAAAAAAAATTCAGCAGGGCTTAGTTGTTTTTTCTTTTATTACCCTTCCTGCCCATTTTTTAGGAAATTAATACAGCTTAATTGCATAATAAAGATATCAGTTCTATAACTATTTTAGCAAAAACAAATGCAAAGCATTCATTCATTCATTCCAGATTCATGCAATCTTATACCTTCCTTGAACATCCCAGTGAAAAGAAGGATGTGACTGGCTAACAATGCCAATTCATAAGATAAGTGGAATACCTGATTACTATTAACTCTGCTCTAAATGATCTTCCATCATACAATAACATATAGAAGGACAGAGTACATCCTTCTATCAAACAATGGCTGGTTTGCATAACATGTTAAGCTAACTTGTGAATTAGATACTGCAAATCCAACCAGGGTTGTTAAAGTATAATTCATGTAGATATCTAAACATTTCCAGTAAACTATTGTTAACCGTGTTTGGTATATTGTACAAATACAGCCATTACTTTCTCCAGTCTCATTATTCCTCATTACCTAGTCTTTTAGTTGCTAAGTATTTTTAAACATTCCTGTAAAATATATGTTGCTTATGAAATTTCATGATAGTATAGTTTATGGGAAAAGAGACAATCCAGGAGTGGGAACTGTGAGAAGAGTTTCAAAAAGACTGATTATAACTTTGCCTGGGCATTTTACTCTTATGGTTTTATAGATGATGTTTTTGCCCCAATCTAGCAATTAAACATATATTTCTGAAATCCATGTGATGCTTATTCCTTTGTTCGCCAATTATTTAGGCTTGATAAATTGTTTGAGGAAACCTTCAGAGGACATTTTGGAAATGCTCTGGCAGAAATAAGTAATATTGGCTGTTCCTTTTTCATTTGCAGCCCGAGGAGGTTGGTCAAGAAGCAGTGGAGGAGCCTCTGATAGAGCCACTGTTGGAACCCGAGAGTGAGAATTATGAAGAGCCACCGCAGGTGACTGAAGCAGAATTAGGGCAAACTGATCACAAAATGGGAATGAGAAATTCTGGGGAATAAAGGGAATACAGGAGTTTAGCCTTCTATGTCCCTACCACATCCCAAGTCCTGCTGTCTGCTTCATCATGGTGGTGGGAGTTCCCTGGGAGATTTGAACCAGGAATGATGGGTATATATGCTAAGAGTATATTGTCCGAATAGAGCATGAAGATTATCCTAGCTGTCATGCTAAAGCAAGCAGGCACCTTTATTGGGCAGAAGCAATATAGGAAGTTACTGGAAGCAGTAATAACAATCATTTCATAAAGTGAAGAAGGCACTGGTAAACTACTCCTGTTTTTTTAACCAAGAAAATCACATGACTAGATAAAATGACTGATAATTTACCAGGCTGATCAGATAACTCACTACTGAAAAGGGCTGAAGCTCTTTTTGGAGTACTAACAATGTGGATTAAAGGTTTCCAGACATTTAGTTGCTGATACTGCCATAAAGGGGGGGGGGATTCAAAGCTACAAAGAAAGAATTACAGTGGGAACATGGCATATATGAAACATGGAAAAGTTGAACAGTGAAAGATGAAATTAATCAACAGTGACATCTTAGATATCACAAAACTGAAACAGGGTGGAATTGTGAACTTTCAATCAGTATATCATGTTTACTATTCAGGACATAAAAAAGGCATCACTTTCATAATTATGAAGGATATAGCAGAGACAGTATTGGGATATAATGAGTAAATGACCAAAGAATACAAAGTAGACTTCATGAACAACTCTTTAATGTGATATTCTCCAAGTTTATGTTCCAACTACTGATGCAGAAAAAGAGGAGACTAATGAGTTTTATGGTCGAGTTGAATTTGAAATCAATAGAACATGTAAACAAGATGTGCTGCCTTTGATGAGACTGAAATGCCAAAATTTGAATCAGTGAGGAAAACGTGGCTGGAGTTAGAAAATAGAAATTAAGGAGAATGATTTACCAATTTCTGGCAATCCAATGATATCTTTATTGGTAATATTGTTTAAATGAAATTGACACTTATGTACATGGAATAGATCACAAACTGTTCACGTGCAAATTACACAGAGAAGAACAAAGCCAATCAACTTCCACAATATGAATTTGAGCTCACCAATTTCAAGAACATTAGGAATTGCTATGAAGTCCCAAACCTAACGGGGGGGGGGGGGAATTAAGAGGAAATATGGGTTGAAATCAAATAAATTGTTAAGGATAAGGCTGAAGAGACTTAACATTTTCTTCGTCTCCAGTTTGCTTCCCTATAATAGAAAGTTTTTTGACTCCTGAGCAATTAATCTTGAATTTGCTTCTCTTGTATAGTTAAAATATTGATCTCTGGTTTTAGAATAGCATTTTTGTATAAAAATCTTATAAGACATCAGGAGTCATTTTTCTTCTTTTGCAAATGTGGAATTTATCCTGAAAATGTGTTAATATTTGGAAAATGCCTGCATCAAAGCTTTAAGGTGTCTTTCAAAATATCCTTTTTTGAACTCTTCTGAGATGCCTCTGAATTTTAATTGATGAAATTTCAGTTTATCCTTTCTATTTTCTGGCATTTTTGCTCTTAAACTGTGATATTTTCTTGCTTTTCTTTTAATTATTTAATTTGTGTAACTTGAATATTCATTGCAGTGTTCCTAATCTCTGTTTTAAAATCTATTCTCATATCTTCATTTTCTATTTTTAAATCAAGTTCCATATCCTCCATTATATTCATCCCTGTTTCTGGTATTTAAAGTTTTCATTCAAGTCCTGATATTTCGATGAGATGGGCAGCATATAAATTTAATAAATAAATATTTGGGTTGCTAGTTTCTTGATTTCAACATTTGATTGAGCATGTCTGAGTCCGATTCTTCTTCTCATTGCCTTTCTTCTTCCTTCCTTGTCTCCCTTCTTTCTTTGTTATAAAATATCTTCCATAACAGTATTTACTTAGTAGATCTCTATATCCAACCACTATTGTTTTCAGGTTTAAGTAAAATGGTAAGTTCTTATTCTGATTTTTTATAATTTTTTTTACCAACTTCCAATAAATATTCCATTGTAAAACTTCTACAGTATTTCTATCTCATCTCTCTGCCAGTAATCAGTCTTTCTACATTTTATACAGAAAAATAAGAGAAATAGCTGAAATAAGATACTGCTTTGTTATGTGGATGCTCAAAGGCAGGTTACATCTAGTTTGTTATTCAATTGTCATTATTTTCTATCAATCGCAGGCATTCACAGAAGTAGATCTGTTACTTGAGCTCAGTGGAATCTGTTTCCCCAGTATTTTCAGTTCTGGAGCACATCTTAGTTATGGAGTGCATTCTTTTTTAAAGAAAAGTTTGTCTCACCATAATACTGCTGTTGTGTTGTAATCAATTATCTTCTCTTCTCCTTTTATTCCAGCATCGGAAATGTTGTGAAAAGTAGTCAAAATAATTGTATTTATAAAGTTTAATGAAGGAAAATAGTTGGCATTATAAAATCCAATAGAGGTGAATGGAAATTCAATGGTTGATTGATTGGAGATTATTTAAATCTTTCTGTCAAAGAAAAGAGAGGGGAAAAAAGTATATGCTTGCATGGGAGTTGGCAATGTGTAGCATTGGAAATTGACATTGAAAAAATGTACCTGTATGGGTGCTAGATAATGAAAAATATGGGCTGTGTGAGACCAGAAATCCCCTGGCTATGCTTTCTTAGATTAACCTATGTCTTAAGAATCTAAGGAGTAATAAAAATACCACAGACTTCAAAGTAGGGAGAAGATTCCTGTGAGGAAGCCATCATTGCCCCTTTAAACTGTAGCATTAAACCAAAATTAATTGCAAACAAAATGGGGGCCATTAATCATTAAACCTATATGGAATTATTTTAGTAAAAGGACTATTTTCAACAAGCTCTGAACATATAAAACTTATGTTGTTTACAAGAAACACATAAAACAACACTACATCACTTCATTAAAACAGAAAAACTTACATCAAGAATACATAGCATCTGGAAAAAACCAGAATATTTTTAAAATCATCTTCTTAAGAATTATTAAAAAAACAAAATAAGATAAAAATGGACAAATTTTAATCTTGAAACTGAAAAAAGACAAAAATTGAATTCAGAAAATTGTATGAAAATAATATTTATATCCTAATAGAAACTGCAGAGGGTATAATAATCATTGTTAAAAATATGAATAGAATGCTACATTTTAATTTAGTCAAATCAGCTAAAAGGAAAAGAAAGAAGGAAAGCTCCAAGAAAGCTCTTCCAATATATGGTCACAAGGGAAGCAGCATATATAATCCTAATGCGTGCGCAGTATGCGTGCACACACACACACGGAAATAACCCAAAGAAACTTCACTCTTCCAAATTAATTTCTTTATTGAATGTGGACTATATTGACAGAGTGCATAAGGAAGTGCATAGGGAAGTGAAATGATATACATAGAGCAGGCAGATTATATTCCAAAGAGGAAGACGATGAACAAATTTATTATAAACGCACTAGGATATATCAACATCAACATTAAAGACAGAAATATTTTCAGATGTGAATAAAGCCTTCAACAATTGGGAATCAGTTTTTTGGGGATGTTCTAGGTTGAATGAACTCTAGTGAAGAATTCAAAACTTTGGTGGAGAGCATGTATCAACAGCAAGCAGTGAAGATTATGGCAATTGCAACACTCTCTGCAAACTTCTCAATATGTAAAGATGCATTGGCAATGAGGTCCACTTTCCCTTTTACTATTTGTAGCCTTTTTGGAAGTCCTAGTAAACATGATCTAAAAAGATAAAACAAATAACCAAGATCTGAATTCAAGGAGAATACAAGAATAAAATGCTATAAAGATAATATAGTATTAACAATTATACAACTACAAACTCCATACAACAATTGATGTAAGTAGTTAGTAGTAGCAGTAAGTAGTTAAGAACTACTTACATCAATTGTTGTATGGAGTTTGCAATTGGCTGCATTAACATATAAAGATGGATTTGGGGGGAAATAAATATTTATTTCTAATCTTATGGGGTGAAGAATTATGTTTGTTTATATTTGTGGTGGAGATTAAAGAAAAAAATAACTTCTTTAAATATATTTATCTTTTTTTCTTACATTTCCCTTTTTCTTCTCTTGAATCTTTTCTTCCATATCTCTTTTTAGTTTGTTTTGGCTTATTCTACTGTAATTAAAATTTTCAGTAAAAATAGTTTTTAGAAAGACATATAACCAATCACTTTACCCGCCATGTTTAAACGCAAGAGGCTTTTGTAAGTAGGCAGTTCTGTTGAGTAAACCAGGGGTCCCCAACCACCGGTCCGCGGACCGGTACCGGTCCGCGGAACAAGTCCTACCGGGCCGCTGGTTGCTGGGCGCCGCCATCTTTTTTTGATGCAAAAGTGCTTCCGGTGAGCTTTTCCGGGTAGAAAGCTCACCGGAAGCACTTTTTCATCAAAAAAAGATGGCGGCGCCCAGCTGATGCCGGTACCGGGCCGCGGCGCCCAGCTGATGCCGGTACCGGGCTGCGGCATAAAAAAGGTTGGGGATCACTGGAGTAAACCATTATAGTTGATAGGATAAAGATAGAAAGTAAAAAGTAGAAGAGTGGATCTGTAGAGCAAGCTTCTCTGTTATCTAATCTAGAGATGGGTTATTTTGTCTCATGTCTTATATCATCTAATACAATTAATGTTTTCAATTTCTTTTCAGGAGGAATATCAGGAATATGAGCCAGAAGCATAATGGCCACAGCTGTTCCCGACACTTCCACCAGCAGCACAATAACAATAATTTCTTCTTCCCTATCCACATCCATCTCTCCAAGGGAAGGTCTTGATGCAGATGCTAATGGAGAGAATCCCCCATACCCCATCCTGTCATGAGTTCTTCCTCCAGTTCTGCTCCAAGAGACCTCATCAGGATCAGTGTTTTATGTATTGTGGTCTTTAGCGTTAAAGAGAAAGAATACTGAAGACAAACCGCGACCGCAGTGGTTTGTGTACATGTGTACATTTCAAAGCCCAGCCTTACTGCCTGTCTCCCTCCCAGTGCAGTAAGGCCAGATTTCATGTGTCTGTAAGCAGCATGTTGTATCTTCTCTGTTTTTAAACAGAGCACTCCATGTCCTTGACTGGGACCTTGCACTGGGCCCACTGTACATTTGCTTGCACGTGAATCATGTCAACTCCGTTCCATTATCATTGGAACTTTTTTTTAAAAAAAAATCTCTGTCCTGGTCATGTAAAATAGACTTCCTGATTTTAACGGTGCAGAAGTTGTGTCTATGTATCCTAAACAAAAGGAGCATCTTTCCTTTCCTGCCCCCAGCACTCTGTATATTTTGACTGTGGCATGGATATATACCTCCCACTGTCGCTGTGTGTGCAGTCCTGGGTTGCTGCCAGTGATGCAGCTACCCATCTCCATGAATAAAGCCAATTCTTGACTGTAGCGGTTTTTCTGCTTCCACGTGGTTCATAGGTCAAGAGGGAGAGCAGTTAACCTTTGCTTTTCTGAGAACAAGGTAGTTTTCAATGGGCTAAGTGTCCACATTGCTGACCTTTCAAGGCTTTGAGAACAGTATATTTTGTAATGTCTAAGGGAAGCAGCTGATGTTGCTTCTTACAAACTAACACAGCTTCAGTGATTTTTTTCCAAATTAAAGTATAAGCAATCAGTAAGTAAAATGGAACATCCATTGGAAGTGCTGAAAAAGCCCCTTCAGCAGGTATGTTTTTTCATCCTAGATGAATTAAGCTAGAGGTCTTAAAATTGAACTGCCAATATTGTATCCACCTCTATTGTGCAGTCATACTTAAATCAGAACTCTATACGGTACAAGATTTTAAAAAATAAACTGTAAAGGTAGAAAACATATAGAAAATAGTCAAAGGACAGAAATACCTTTTCTGAAAAATTGTAACATTTAGGGCTTAGAACCTTATGGAAAGAAAGTAAGGAATATAATTATGCATGGTGCAGAGAAAGTAAAAATATTTTTTCTCCTTCTCTTATAAAAATAGAATCTAGGCACTTCCATTGAAGCTGATTTGCAGGAAATTGAAGATAGATACAACGTAATTTATAAAATTTTCTGTCACAAGAAACAGTAGTTTAGACTACTTTGTGACACAAATTCATTGGAAATGTTTCGTTAGATATCATTAAGCCATAAAGCAGCTTCAGTCCCATAAGCTATCACTAGGCAACCATTATCAGAGAAGGAAAGTATTTGCATTATTGTATTTATTGGCTTCTCAGAGGCATCTGATTGGTGATTGCTAGAGACAGAATGCTGTACTAGATAAGCCCTAGATCTGATCCAAGAGAGCTATTGTAGTTTAAAGATAAACATGTCAAAACACACACACACACACATCCCTATTCGGCCTTAAAATATTAGGGCAACACTGTCTTCTGAGATAATAATTATTAGAAATTAATACAGTCCAGTTAACATCAAAGCCTGCTTATAAGTAGTCGATCTAGTATCCAATTCCAAAACAGTTCCACTGCCATTAATTAAGAATAATGCTATTCATGTGATTGATGAAGACAGTATATAATAAATCTTGATTAAAAAGATATTTTACTTACTTTTAGTGGGAAAATCACGCTTCAGAAAAACTGCCACAGAGCAGAAAAATGTGTGCCTTCCACTTTGAAATGAGATAAAATTTAAAGTCTTTTTAACCACAAAATCTATTTTTGTGGCTTGAAATCCCTAACAATTTACCAATATCTGAATAGTTGCTAATAACAATATTGTAGCTGCTAATTTTCATGTTATTTTGTTAAATTATAGATGGCTTAATAATTTGTGGAGTTTCTTATTACAACTTTTATTTTAAAATCAATACCAATCTTACATTGTCTCCCTTTCCTGTGATAAAGCTTTCTCGATAAACATTCCAGTTTCTTCGAATTTGTCTATTTGTCTGAGATACATACATATCAAGATTACAGACCTATATGTTATCCCTGAAAGTCTTAGAATGATGGTTGTATGTTTGATATTTTAAGATATATTACTTTGTTTAGTAATATATAGTAATATGAATTGCCCTTTTGAATCCTGTATGTTCTTTTGCATTTTTAACCCCCACAATTGTCAAGAAAAACATGTATTTCCTGCTTAATTGATGACTCCACACACAATATGACAGCATGCTATGCAATTTGTCTTGCACAATTTTAGCCCCTACTATAATTGTCGCATTTAAGGCTAGCAATTAAACTACTAAACGAAATAGGCACAAGGTTGATTACTAAATGATTTCATAGATTATCAACTTTAACTTTGATTTGCTAGAAAAAATAAAAAATAATTTAATTTATTCATTCATAATGTGACATATTAGAACCTATTTTCTTGCAATTTGTTAAAGCCCAAAATACACAGCAAAGAAAACAAAAGAACTGGAAAATATGTTCTATCAATGAAAGTATTGATATAATGGATGAGATGGGAAATTTGTGACAGTAAAATGGCCCATGTAACAAAATTTTAATTTGAAGAGGCAGGTAGGAGACTGAATAAACTGTCAGGATGATGCCTCAGTGATAAACCTGATATTAGTTTACAATAATCACAAATGTTGCAAAACCAACAATATTAATTAAATAATTAGTGTTGTAAAAGTGATCCCTCAGCGAATTGAAACTTAATATTAATCAGTATGTAAATAAAATTAAAATCTTAAGTGGAATTGCTAGAGAAGTAAAATGTTATTTTTTTTTGTTTCCTTGTCCCCAATCTTTGCATGTCTTTAACAATTAAAAGGAAAAAGGATTTTAGAACTGCCTCACAGAAGAGGCAATGGGTGACTATATACATGCATTTATCAAATTGAGAAGCCTCAGATCCTATTCTGAATTGCAGATATTTTCAGCAATCACATGTGCTCTCATGACTACTGTACAAAACTATCAAATGAAACTTAGATTTCTTAAAGCCTGAATTGGCCTCAAGCTCCTCTATGAGTGAAGTAATGGAAGAAAAAAAAACACCATTGGTCTCCATCTGTGGAAAAGGCTCTGTTGCTGCCATGCAGGATATATACTTTTATGAAAAATGGTAGTGATTGATAGAGAATTGGTCTGGAGGAGAAGGGAAGAACATTCACCAGAGATTATCAACATCACCCATGATAAAGACTGACACGTGAAAAAAAGTGAAGCAGTTCCCAAATGGGAATATACAGCTAGTCCTTATTTAGCAACCACAATTGAAGCCAGCACTTGGTTGTTAAGCAAAGCAGTTGCTAAGTGAAACTGCAACTGTACATATGACCATTCTTCAGCTTTTCTTTGCTTTACATATCTGTAAAGATCATAAATGCAAGGACTGGTCATAAAGTTTATAGATTGTTGTAATGTATTCTACCTGGGACTGCCCTTGAAGAGGATCCAGGAGCTTCAGCTGGTGCAGAATGCAGTTGCCAAGACAGTTATGTGTGCCTTTAGAATGGTACACATTACATCTCTGTTCTGCAAACTGCATTGGTTACTAGTTTTCTAGATGCAATTCAAGGTGCTGATTTTGACCTTTAAAGCTAATGGTATGGGACCAAATTTATCTTAGGGACTGTCTCTTCCTGGTTACCTCTACATGCCCCATCAAATGCAATAGAGAGACATGCTGTCTGTGAAGGAGGTTCCATCTGACAGAACCCAGGAGATGTGCCTTTTATAATTCCTGCCCTCTGGGATACCATTCCCACCTGAGATGAGATTAGTCCATCCATTAGCCATCCGGAAAGCCTTGACAACATGGTTTTTCTATTAGCCTGAGAATCAAATGGCAAGCCTGCAAACTGATTCAGTGAAGCTACATGACGGCTGTCCTCTTGCCATCTTGGGGTTCTTTTATGTGTTACTCCTTTACGTTATTATTATTATTTTTAATTTATGTCTGTTTTTTATAGTGATACGGTTTTAATTATTATTTTCCTTGTAAGCCATCCAAAGTAACTTTTTACTTTGGGTGGCTATATACAAATTTGCTAAGTAAACAGTTACTTTTTCAGCAATGTGGTAACTGAACAGTTGCTAAACAAAGATTGTCTGTATTAGGCATTCTGAAGTAAAAGGCCTTTCTGCACAACTTAAGTGTTGATTTCAAATCTGAGAATAATTGGGCATATGAAGAATGGGAGCTGCAGTTTATCAGTGAGCAGGACAACAGTTGTTATCAAATTCCTAAAGAGAATGATAAAAGCTCATTCTTTTAACACTAGTCCTGTTTCCGCATTTAATTCAGGGTGTCATTTATTAAACAGACTTTCCTTATTGAATGAAGTCCAACACTTTGGCATCAGTTTTCTAATTTAAAACTGAAGATTAAAATCATTTATAGGCAGTCCTTGACTTATGACCACAATTGGAACCAGAATTTCCATCACTAACAAGGTAGTTATTGAGTCATGCTTGATTTTACTACATTTTTGCCATGCTCATTAAGCAAATCACTGTGGTTCTTAAGTGAATCATGCATTAATTCAGTGAATCTTGTTTTCTCCATTAACTTTGATTGTTGGAAACTGTCTGGGAAGGTGTCAAATGGCAATAAAGTGACCCTGGAACACTGCAACCTTCATAAGTACATGCTGGTCGTCAAGTACCAGAATTTTGATCAGGTTATCACAGATGTTGTGATGGTTGTAAGTGTGAGGACCACATAAGTCACTTTTTTCAGTGCCATTGTACCTTTGAATGTTGTTAAGCAAATGATTTAAGTTGTTGTAAGATGGATGTAAGATGAATGGTGGTATAGAAGCATAGCACGATACCAGGCATGCAGTTAGAAGCACAGTAAGTAAGATATCTTGTTCTATTCTAATACCAAGTCGGTGATCTCAACATGGGAAATCCATGACAGCTGTTTTTTTTTAATCCTAAAGTGACACAATGCTGTCTGAAAAGAAGTGCTGGTACTGTGCTGCACATGCTTAATGGTTGACAATCTGGAACAACAAATCATAACTACTGAGCTTCGGTGTTGTCAATATGTTTTGTCAATACTGAAGACACTGAAATGCCTTCACCATTACATCTTCATGGAGGAAGTAAGGTCTGTCCCCACCCTTCTGGCCTTCAGGAAATGCCTTAAAACTTGGCTATGTATTCTGGTTAGATGGGGCCCTGAAGGAGGAACTGTTGGCTGGAAATAGCTAGTGTAGTAACAGAGAAGCCACCGCCACCTCTCTGCTCCAGATCCATGTTTTGATCTCTTGTAATTTCAATCATTTTTATATTTATATTTGTTTTTACTTCCATATGTTTTATTAAGCCACTGAGTATTACCTTGGACAGCAAGATGAGCACATATAAATTAGGTAGGTAGGTGGGTAGAAAGATAATGGATAGATGGATGGATGGATAGCTGTGTTAGTCATTAATTTGTCTTCAGGTGACATAGGATATACAATTTGCACAGGTAAGCCAAGAACAACTCATTGTTCTGGACTGTTTGACATTTAGCCACTGCTATACTATGTTCCTGTACTCAATTCAATTGTCACAATTAGTTAATGACATCTGCAGGAAACCACAATAACATAAATATAATGACATGTGCATGAATACATAATAATACGAATGCAACTGAAAGAGAATTTAGAGGTCCAGACTAAAAACCACCTAACCCAAATGTATCTTCCTGAGAAAAAAAAAAAGCAATTGCAAAAAAGCAATTTCCCAGGGCAACTAAAACTCAACTCAACCACAATAACATTAGAAGCCCAAGGAATGCTAATTAGCTGAGGCTTTAACCTCATCCTCTTTTGGCTTGTCTTTGCATCCAGTGCTTCAATAAGTGAATTAATGCTTCAATGTAATGTATCCTGGTCTTTGTTCCAGGCATACTCCTACAAAATTCTACAATACCCAATAGGTAATTGAAGATGTTGCATACAGGTACGTAAGTTTTGGCATTTGCATGACCTACATTATGCATTATCTTTTGCCTCACTTGTCTCTCTGAGAATACATCTCATATCCTGCTTGCTGCAGCCTGAAGACGCTACTATTTTTGAAGGACAAATCCCCATGATATCCACCTCAGTCTGCTGCTCCATATCATCCCTGGCCCATTTGTGAAGCTACTTAGGGTGGTCTTCACAGATACTCTTCACTTAATGTCTATTCATTCAGTGACAGTTCAAAGTTATGACTGCTGAAAAACTGGACTTCTGATATTTATTTACTTATTTATAATTAATGACAGAAAGAAAAAGAGCATTATCTTTAATGATGGAAGTACATATACTATCAAAAAGAACAAAACATAGAAAGTGCTTTAACAAAAAGTGAAAAAAATGATAGAAAAATGTTTGTTACAATTCTATATATACTTATTTAATGCAAATATTAGTTAAGTAAGTATATATTTCTAATAGATTTATACATTTTTTAAACTACTGTATTTTGTATGAGTCCCATACATGTCTAATGGATTGGCTCCCCCTTCCTTCCTTCCTTCCTTCCTTCCTTCCTTCTTAATTGGCCGCCCATTTTACCACAAGGTAACTCTGGGCAGCTTATAACGACACACACACACACACACACACACACACACACTTAATATCTGCAGATGCTACAACCCAATTACAGATGGGGAGGGTGGGGATAGGATTGGGGGAGCGGGGATCTGTTGTTAAACAATCAACCTCCACTGTGATGTTCTCCCATTGGGTCCCCAAGTTAACTAGCAGAACCAAGTCTTTAGGCCCTTATGAAAGATCAGGAGGGTTAAGGCTGGCCTCACATTGGGGGCAAGATGTTCCTGAAGGAATTTGCAGCAGCAGAGAAGGCCCTTTCCCTGGACCTTGTTAGCTGGAATAATTGGGCCGATGAGATCCACAGCTTGCTTCCTCTGCCAGCACAGGTGGGATGGGCCAATCCAGTGG